GATCCTTCTGAACTGGGGAAGAAGATCCCACAGACATTGGTGGGACTGGAGGCGGCGAAGGAAAGGAGGACGGAGCCGTAAATCTTAATCCACTCCATCAGGTCCCACAAGAAGGAGGACAGACTGGGTATGTGGATGCCCCCTTAACTTCCATGGAACTAAGAGCTATCAGAAACCAGTTACCTAAACTAACAAAAGACCCAGAGGGATTTGTAAAAGATCTAGAGGGGATGGTCGGGACATCCACATATTCAGTCCACGAGTTTATATTGAAGCAAGTCACGAGCAATATGAATTTTTTGGGGGGCAGTGCAGAAAGCACATCAATTATGGGCTTCAAGATGGGGGGCAAACAGGACACCTTTAGAGGCTGAAACAGAAATACCATACTAACCCCCAAATTTAAACCTCCAAACTGCCCTAGGAAGAGAAGCATATGCAGAGTATCGCACTTGAGTGCTTGAGGGGCTAGTTAAATCTATGCCTAGGGCGGGATTGTCACACTCGAATTGGCCTTCTCAGCCACACTAGATGCTGTTCCAAGTCCTCCATACAGAGCATGTTACCATAGTCTCTCAAGACTGAAGGATGCCTAATCAATCAAAGGGCGGTAAATATAAGCAAGGCTTTTGGAGCCCCTCAAAAGAAGGAGGGAACACCGGATGAATTTGGAGAAAGACAAAAGAAAGGTGGGGCTGATGGTGCAAGCAGTGAGGGAAGCGAATGCGGCTGAGAGGAGACGAGGGAGAGGAAGATTTGTAGGGGACGAGTACGGGGGTGGTATCAAGAGAAGGAAAGTCAGGGGAATGGGAGAGGAAGATTTGTAGGGGGAAGAGGGGCTCAGAGACAACAGCTCCTCTGCCTCAGGATGTAAAGAGAAAGGCGGACAAGAGATTGAATCTGGGTCATTATCTCCAAGCATGTTACCTCAGACAGCGGAGCTGTTTGCTTTAAAACAAGCGCTACAGTTAGGTGAAGTGAAATGGATAAACATATATAAAGGTAAAGGTTCCCCTTGACTTTGTAGGGGGAAGAGGGGCTCAGAGACAACAGCTCCTCTGCCTCAGGATGTAAAGAGAAAGGCGGACAAGAGATTGAATCTGGGTCATTATCTCCAAGCATGTTACCTCAGACAGCGGAGCTGTTTGCTTTAAAACAAGCGCTACAGTTAGGTGAAGTGAAATGGATAAACATATATAAAGGTAAAGGTTCCCCTTGACAATTTTTGTCCAGTCGTGCCCGACTCTAGGGGGCGGCGCTCATACCTCAGACAGCGGAGCTGTTTGCTTTAAAACAAGCGCTACAGTTAGGTGAAGGGAAATGGATAAACATGTATACAGACTCAAAATATGTGTTTGGGGTAATCCGTGTATTTGGGAAATTATGGGAAGAAAGGGAACTGATAAATTCAAGAGGAAATCCAGCAGCACACATAAAACTGTTACAAGAAACTTTGCAAGCACTATTACTGTGATTCATGTGATTCATGTCATTCATGTGCCAGGACATGCTAAAGGGAACTCAATGGAGGCTCGAGAGAATAGAATGGCAGATGCCTTAGCCAAAGAAGCTGCAGTTACTGGCTCCCCCACTATTCTGTCACTTGAAGTTCTAATAAATGGAGCTAGCAGAGGAGCAGGAAGCCCGATTAAGAGAAGAGAACTTGATTATCAGACTCAAAATATGCGTTTGGGGTAATCCATGTATTTGGGAAATTATGGGGGAAAAGGGAACTGATAAATTCAAGAGGAAATCCAGCAGCACACATAAAACTGTTACAAGAAACTTTGCAAGCACTATTACTGTGATTCATGTGATTCATGTCATTCATGTGCCAGGACATGCTAAAGGGAACTTGATGGAGGCTTGAGGGAATAGAATTGGCTGATACCTTGGCCAAAGAAGCTGCAGTTACTGGCTCCCCCAGTATTCTGTCACTTGAAGCTCTGGAGCTAGCAGAGGAGCAGGGAGCCCGATTAAGAGAAGAGACGTTGATTATGCCAGATGACCAGGTCTGGTTACCTAAGGCAATAATAAGAGAAGTTTTAAAATGAAGGAGGGCACTGGCGAACTGAAACTCTGGTAGAAGCGTTTTTAAAGAAGTACCGTATGTTGGTTTGGGGGTATGGGCGCTAGCTAAAGACATTACACAAAGGTGCCTCATCTGCCAGAAGGTGAATAAATCAGGAAAATAGATGACATCTAAAGCAGGGAGATCGTTTGCTACTCGACCTTTTCAGAGGATACAGGTGGATTTTATAAAACTGCCACCGGTGGGCAAGCTGAAATATTGTTTGGTAATACTAGATCACCTGACAGCAATAGTAGATCACCTCGCAAGGTGGGTGGAGGCATTTCCGATGACAAAAGCAAATGCGAGGAATGCGACAAAATGCCTTCAAGGTTTGGTTTGCCAGAAGTAATAGTTTCAGACAGAAGCTCACACTTTACAGGGGGAAGAATAACTCAAGGAATAATTAAGCAGTTAGGGATAAAATGGGAACTTTATACCCCTTGGCATTCGCCTTCTTCTGGGAGGGTGGAGAGAATGAATGCCACTTTGAAATACTGTATATACTCAAAAGACTGATGTTGGAAAATCGGTTACCATGGACTAAACTACTACCATTAGCTTTATTTGGGATTCGAACAAAACCAAGGACAGGGCTGGGATTGTCCCCTTTTGAAATTATGTATGGATTTTCTATTTGGGACATTGCGCCAGAGCGAAAAAATGCCTTCAAGGTTTGGTTTGCCAGCAGTAATAGTTTCAGACAGAAGATCACACTTTACAGGGGAGAAAAATAACTCACAGAATAATTAAGCAGTTAGGGATAAAATGGGAACTTTATACCCCTTGGCATTCGCCTTCTTCTGGGAGGGTGGAGAGAATGAATGCCACTTTGAAATACTGTATATACTCAAAAGACTGATGTTGGAAAATCGGTTACCATGGACTAAACTACTACCATTAGCTTTATTTGGGATTCGAACAAAACCAAGGACAGGGCTGGGATTGTCCCCTTTTGAAATTATGTATGGATTTTCTATTTGGGACATTGCGCCAGACAAGCCCTGCATGGCGACCCATGTGTTTTTGAAAGAATATGTTCTGGCCTTGTTTTCTATTTTGACTTTGGCATGTGCTGCAGTACTCGCTTCCCACTGCCTTGCCTTTTCCCTGGTTGGGAGCGTGTCTGCCTGGGAGCTGCATCTGCCTTGCCCAGCACATCGCATGAACAGGAAGAGTCAAGAGACCTCTTTCACCGCAGCCGACTTGACTTGGATGAGGTCTCATGTGGAAGATCTTTTGGAGGGAAAAACAAACAAACAGGCTCATTTCTTTTTTCCCTTGGTGGTGGTGGTGCCAAGTGCTCCTAAGTTCCAGTGTGTGCCCCCCCCCAGTTGCACCACTTTTGCAGGACAAATGTGCGTAACATGTGTGCAAGCTGCCATGAAATTTGCACCAAAGCAGAAATATTTTTGAGGAAGCATTTTCGCAGATTATGTTGTGTGGGCAGTTTGGGGATCCATTGCAAGGCTGCTATTTGGTTCAGTCTCTTTGATTATTTCTGTATAAGGCCCTGCTGCATAAATGTTGTCATGATGACTCAGAAAGGAGTTGAAAAGTTGCAGGAGCCCCATGAGATTGCTTTGGTTTTTTGCCAAGAGTTACTCTGACTCTTTCCAGGGATTATGTTGTTTTAAAACAGGTTTGGGGATTTTGCATGTAAGCCTGTTAGAAAAACGTCCGGGGTAGGGGTGGGGAGCACATGTTATGGAATGCCCTTTCAATCTGAGACTTATTATATTGCAGATTAGAAGGCACTGCGGGTTAAACCGCTGAAGCCTGTGTGCTGCAAGGTCAGAAGACCTGCAGTCATAAGATCGAATCCAGGCCACGGAGTGAGCCCCACCCCCGTCACTTGTCCCAGCTCCCGCCAACCTAGCAGTTCGAAAGCATGCAAAATGCAAATATGCAAGTAGATAAATAGGTACCACCTTGGTGGGAAGGTAAACGGCATTCCGTGTCTAGTCACGCTGGCCACATGAGCACGGAGGATTGTCTTTGGACAAACGCTAGCTCTATGGGTTGGAAACGGAGATGAGCACCGCCGCCTAGAGTCGGACATGACTGCAGAAATTGCCAAGGGGAACCTTTAGCTTTACCTTTATGCTAGGAGGAAGTTGTTATTACATAACACAATTGTTTCTGCCACTGCTAAACCATACACTGAAGGACCCATGACTTCTGTGTTGTAATCTAGGGGCACAGATGGGATCTATGATCTGATGGTGGTTTAGAGAGGATTCCATCTAAAGATCATATGAAACAATGTGGATTCGTGACTCGGATTCATGTTTTTGCATCACTGCAAAGCCATGTGCAGAAAAATCTATACTGTAATTTATGTGGTGTAGTCTGTGGGCACAGATGGGATCTATGATTTGATGATGGTTTGGTGAGGATACCGCATAAAAATCGTATAAATCATAAGGATCCATTCTTGATTTAATGGATCCACCTTTTACTTAGACCCTCCTTTTACGCCTCAAAGTTTAAGATGCCAGATGCTGTTTTGTTTGTTTGCCCGCCCTTTCCAGAGCTGGCACGTATGTTCGGACATTACCGCTCCCCCAGCCCACCCAGCTATTGTGAACATTGCGCTGCGCTTCTTATTCTAAATTACCCACGAATAGCCATCCTCCAGAGACGCTGGTGAACTGCAACTCCCATCATCCTTCACCATGATTTATCTACTCCCTGAGGTAGATGGGAAGGGCAGCCTAGTAACATCTGGGATGTTGCTGACACGTACATCACAAGTGATTTCAATGAATAACCGCACCACCGTTTCACTTTCTTGGGAAAGGAAAGACA